ACAGACTGTGTCAAATATTTGAAAATAACTTTATCAAACAGAGCTTCCTCCAAACAGTGGTTTTCCTCGTCAGTGGAGATGGTGTCCGTACATGTTCTACATGGTGCACCAACACCTGACGTTCCTGCATGACAGCATCAAGCACTTTCAACAAGTCCTGGAAATTATCTTCTATTAGATTTACTATTTAATCACCGTCTTTCCAGTTAGATGCGTCGTAGTGGTGTAATGGCATCCGTCTTGGTTTCTTGCCTAAAAAAAATATACATGACTGCAGTGTCCATAATTATTAACATTTTATATTTTCACGCAATCTTCTTTCAGACATGCATATTGCATAAATCTGTAGATGCATACATGTAGGTCTCTGACGACGTATCTTTCTGGCTTCGTCTAAACACACCTAAGGCCTATTTGTACATGTGTCTTGGTACCTTTCGGTATTTATAAGTTGAGTTGAGTTTCAGCAAATCTCGAAGTCGTCTTCATTGTCACGCTATTGGTTTTCTTCAATTGTTATGAAATTGTCTTCGTCCGACATCTCCAACATTTTATCTTTACATTTCTACACAACATGATCGCCACGACCAAACCACGTGACTTAAGACAGTTTGCTGAATGTTTTGCGCGTGCCTTTCCAGCATTCAGTCCTTCCATCATACCCGTTTTAACCACATGCTCCCTCGGTTCCCCGCGTAATCTACCAAGCATGCACATGACATGGTGATGGGTGCCACCGGTGGGGCAGGATACGCTCACATTTTCGCGACCAGCTGGTGTTGTTACTATTTGATAGTGATTCATGAACACATGCTCTTGATATAGTCGGAATCGTACATTCGACTGTGCTTTATGCAGAGATTTCTATTGGATATTGAAAGGGTTTTGTCTTTGCCTTTGACATTCCCTATGGAGCTTTACAACTGCTAATCACTCAGCCTTTTAATGGAACTTGGTAGAATTTACCCAATTTTCCAATTGAACCACCATTCCATAACATAATTTTTTTTTTATAAAATGCTTATTTTAAGGCTCTTCCAAACGATAATCATGGCAAAATATGATTTAAACTTAACGAACGAACATCCGTATCTTAAGTTTGCAACAGGAGGTGAAACAATTCTAGGAAAGGATCCAAATCTAGTGCAACAGGTTTGTTTTTATCATGTTAAAATATTTTCTGCAGATGAGTACGCTGCCACCACCAAATTTGTCGAAAAATTCTTGGAGAAGTCAGTATACTCTGGCTATCCCTTCAGGCCGATGCAGGCTTAATCGTCGCTGAATCAGTTCTCAGTAACTGGTTAGCCTATGCTTGACACCACTGACGTCGTAGTTGCTGTTGCATCAAAACAACAACTCTGACAGGCCGTTTAGCTCCACGACATTTCTTGCGAGGGCAGTACTTCACCGTCTTGTTTGATAGCCTTCACAATCCTTGAATTGCTGCTTTTGTAGAGAATGCAGTTCTACACCTTTGCAGTAAATGACGTAGCCGTGCGAAGCGGTCACAGGCAGCTGTTGTAACACAGGGTACGCCACGTGACGTACAAAGCTGTTGCTACCGATACCAAAGTCTACACATGGTGATCTGAGTCACACTGAATAGCCTAGCTGTAACCCACTACGATTCTCCAAATGTCCGACGAGGTTGTTCCGTTGTATCTCACGTATTCGCAGCATGAATTTGTCGAACACTTGCTGAAAACAACGTTTACGCAACTGGGAAAGACCACACTTTTAATGGAATTAATCCTGTGGTATTCATACCGTGTTCCTTACGTGGCGTTTGGATTCTGCATTTTCTCGCTACGTTGATGATTCCACGTCAAGAAGACAATCATATTAAGCTTGTGCACCTATGGAATCAATACCAAACTGCCAAATTAATAGCTGGTAAGTGACAGAACTGAACATAACTGTTTGAGGGAGCACAACATCAAATGTCCAGCAATACGCCCAACTGTGCGTCTGGGTAACCGTTAGGCTTGGTGCAGATGGCAGCTGATGTTCAGAAGATAAGACTGGGACAGTACACTGTTCACAGGTGAGTCTGGGTGGTCGTGCAAGTATCCCTACAATCCTACAGGAGAACGTCTTAGCAGTTTGTTTGGTTGAAGTGTAATGGTATTGGGTGTCATCACAACTCATGGGAGAACACAACTAATATTTGTTTGGGAAAATTTGAATGGCGGATGCTACTGGGATGACATCGTTCGAGATTATGTTTTACCCTTTTGTGCAAATACAGGGGCGTAACGTTACGCTGCAGCCTGATAATGCCCTCCCACGCCTGCCAACAGACCTTTTGAGGCAAGCATACCATTGCTGTACAATCATGGACGGCTGTTTCTCCAGACCTATCCATCCTAGAACACATGTCGGTACGAGATGGAACGACGCTTACAACAGGACCTGAACAAGTCGGTAACGCATGCTCAGTTAGGCCAATCTTTGAAACAACATCCCACAGGCTGTTTTCAATCATCTAGTTTCTTCTGTGCGCTGCCACTGCCTCGCCTGTATCAACCCAAATGGGGGCAACACCCGATACTGACATTGTTAATTTAGTTGTTACACCACCCCTCTTTTAGGGCGGGTCAACCATGATTCTCTGAAACCAGTTTCAGCCAGCCACGACGACAGCTAGCACCAAACCATTAGCAGTACGACGTAGGTGGCAATAGAGCGGTAGTATTATCTGATGAATCCAGAGTACTGCTTTATCTCTCTGTCTGTAGATGAAGAGCTCATGCGTCGAAAGGAGGACTGTTTGGATGGGAGTGGAGGAATAATATTGGGAGCCATGCATCAGTACTATCAAACTTTGGCTTGACACTAAAACCCGAAGACATATCCGTTCCACTTTGTACTAGATTCCAAAGCTAAAAAAGAGAGCTATATTGCTCGGTCCAGCAAATGTACCACCAAATCCCTGTCTCAAAGATTAACCATAAATCTTAATACAATCAAGGACAGACTCTCTTAATAATTACAGAAAGTATTTGAGACAAGGTAAACTAATACCAAGTGGAATTGCTACTTTGTAGATTTAAAACAACTCAAAGCATTGCTTAAATTCTTGCAACCTCAGACAAGAAAAAGTTCAATACTGTTTTGTACACCACTATCCTACATAACACACTTATGTGTGTTAAAATAATCGAAAAACGAAAAACTTCAATCGTAGATGCCTGGGACATTTTTTTTGCAAACTTATTGACTATAGATATAGTTACATATCTATCTTTAGAGGTTGAGGACAATTTTTCAAATATGAAAGCAAATGCCATTGGAAAATATGGGATAAAGACATGTAGGCAAGAGGTTGGTATCCTCATGGGCATCAATTCTGCCCCCTTCTTACGGATTTATTTCTTTATGCATATGAAACGGAATTTCTACTCGGATTGGCAAAATCAAACAAGGTAATTTAGCCAAGAGGATTAACTTAAGGTTGATATATATCGATCTGATATCGTTCAATAACCATCAAATAGCCAACTTCCTTCCTCTGATTTACCAACGTAAATTGAAATATAGGAGACCAGTGAGACCGCCTCATCACTTTCATAATTAGATCTATGCATAAAGATTTAGAGTGACAAAACACACTCCACAAGAAATGACCCTGTGGATTGATTACTGTTACCGGGTAATCTACTCTTGTCACGGTCTGGTGACGGCTCCTCTCACTCGCATTATTCCGACACTGCTCGGCAATGTCCGGCGGCCGTCGTCGTACAGTGTCATTACATTCTGTGTTAGAGAATGAGTGATCCTCATATTTTGCTCACTTGTGATTACATGACGCGCTCTTTCCATGTAATCACCTTGTTATCTCCTATATGTGTGCAACCTTATTCATGTGTTGAAACGGTTTTTTCAAACATTAGGGGAATTTATCCTACACTCAGAAATGTCTCACACTTTCAATTCCTGCAATGATGTAGTGAAAATTATTATGGGAATGCATATGGTCATTCAAATGGACACAAAATACGAAATTCCATTTGCTAGTCTGACATTCCACTTTCAAAAGAAAACAAAGTTAAAAATAAATTAATTATCTTCTTGGTTTAGACTATGTATATCATGTCATAATTAGGCATCTTCTTAACAAAGCAATCAAAGTCGGTGTTCATTTTAAATTAAAGCCTCACACACCCCATACAATTACCACTGTCTCGCCTTCTCCCATCACTGCCATTTCATCACGTTTGGAAGTGTAAAAAATCAGATAAGACATAGTCTGTGCCATGTCCAATAATTTCAAACGTTGATTGAACTGATAATATGCTATAAATGTCTTCCTTTATGTGTTCGGAATGCATTGACATTATTCATGAGCATTCATTCCTACATCTGGCATAGCTCTCCAAACACACCATATTTGCTCAAGGGAGATCACTGAGGTTACTGTAATTCAGTTTGTCTGCGTAGTAGTCGATAATACCATCAGCAGTGTTAAGGACAGCTATGGACACACAACTATGCATATTTTGCCACTCACTAGTAATGCTGGAACTAAGGCACGTGACAAGTCATAATCAACAGAAAAAAAACCGTTTGGATTTCATGTTAGAATAGGTACCCAGCAGCTTGGCTGGTCGCAAAAGGTGACCAAATGGATAGGATGGGTAGCCCCGGTGACTTGGGTAATAGCGTGTCGTCATACCCAACCGTGTGGAACGTTGTTCACAATATCTATCACTCGATTGTTTGGTCCAGACTCGATTATATCCAGGCCATTGTTATCTCGTTGGAATATTGCTCAGTTTTGCATTCAACAACAAATAAAACAAAAACAAAATTAACAACAGCCTTTCATCTGAGGCGTGACAAATAAAGATAAGGTATGTACATACTGTCTGGTGAGATAAACAGGTGTAAAAATAAGTTGATCAGCAGGCTGTTACAGTTTCAGTGACTTCTCTGTGCAGTACAAGAATGTGATGAATTCTTTCCAAGTACATTTATTTCATTTTTCTGATTTTCAGTTTCTCATTCTCTGCAATGTAAACAACAAGGATTCCCCATGAGATGTCACTATGTGGTTACTGTGGTGAAGATCTCCCACCAGGGACTAAAAGTGTAGAGGGAGAAGAGACGTATCATGAGGAATGTATCAAGTAAGTACAACTGCCTGTTCTATCCTACTTCTGCGTAGGCTTTCTATTCAGTTACGCGTCTATGTGACGTTCAATATTGAACCCTATTTTTTTTTAATGCTTTCATGTATGAATCTTGCAAGAACAAAACTTCGAAAATAACTTAAGTTTTGAGCATACGAGAATAACAACTGTTAATCTGAAAATACAGGACTGGTGGGTATATTTTGGTTTTATAAGAAACACAATTAAACTTAAAAACGAACACAGTGAAACAACCGCCAAGGCACTGTAGCTCACCTGAGTATGAAGTAAAGACATTATTCCATTATTTCACTGTAGTTTTATCCAATATTTTCACAAAAGATAGCAAGGTAACCCGACATGGTTACCAACATCTACATCAAGTATCTGAATATTTAAGTCTGATGTATCTGATTTAAAAAAGGAGAAAAGTGTTTGCTTTATATGCAAATAAAAGCGACAACAGATTCTCCATAAGCATAACCCGTTGCTCGTCGTAAGAGGCGCCCCAATTAGGGAACCTGTGAAAATCCGAGTAAGAATTGATCTTCAGCAACCAATGGAAGGGACCGGACCAGGTTGTCAGGCTCGGTGATGTGGTTTACGCATGTCATCGTAACCTAGTGCTTATGATGTCTGGTCCAGACTCGATTATTTACAGACCGTCGTCATAAAGCTGAAATATCACAGAGTGCGACGTTAAACAACAAACAAATATAAGAAGGAATTCCAGCCTAGTTCGGCAAGGGTGGAAACTGGACTTTTAAAGTCAGTTAACTCTCTTGCCTCGGGAAGATGTGAAATATACTGCCATATAATAATGTGTACATGCATGTGTGGACATTTGGATGAAAAAAGATATCCCTTTTTTTATTCTGATTGTCGATAATTGTAGAACGTGCATAAAGAAAATTGAATACATGTGAGTAATCTGGTTCATAACACATCTAGCAAAATCTAGCCATATTATGATATTGGTTTCACACACAGAAGACGGATCTTGAAATCATGACTTGAATTTGGACCTGGCTTTCTGGTGTGATATAATCACTAGACTAAACCCCATGACCTCCAAAAAGAGCCAAAAGCCTGAATATAGATCACGAGGAGTCCCTTAACAAATGAACAAACTCATTAATACAAATGCACATATATGTGGAAAGCCCTACTCCTTGATACAAAAATGATTATTTCATGTGTAGTATAACTACTTTAACTTATCAGTATATGTGTTTCGCCAAAAGGATATTTAATATCCACACTGACATGTGCTCATAATCTATCCACCAGTGTTGAAAATTAAATTCGAGAAATTGATGTAACTGATATGTTCAGCAAAACTAACACAGACTCTCCGAATTCATAAAAAACTTACTTATCTTTAGATATATGATCGAAAGGAACAAAGGGAGTCTGTCTGAAGAATCTAGACTTTCAAAACAATCATAGAGTCGCATGGAATCTTTTGGATAGTTGTTCTTCTCAGTTAGACTAATACTAGACTAGAAACTTGACACTGACTTTCAAAATGTAACATAATGCGATTGTTTCAAAATACGACACATAAACCATAATTGAAACACTCTTTGAAGATCAATGTACACAATGTTCAAAACATTAAACATGTCACCTAGACAATAACACGTACACGACACAGTTAATGACACAGGGGTACAAAAAATGTCAGTATCGGTTGTGCCCACCACGTGCATCAATCACCACATGACACCGACGACCCATAGATGCAAACATTAACACACTGTTGGATGTGCTGCCATTCATGCTGAAGTGCATCAAGAAGCGCCGGAAGTGTTTGGGGCGGTGGATTCCTTCTGCGAACGCGTCGATCCAACTCGTTCCACAGATGCTCAATCGGGGACAAATATGGTGACCGGGCTGTCTAAGGTAATGTCTGGTTGTTGTTGTGCTGTCCTGACAAACACGTGCAATATGCGGTCGAGCGTTGTCCTGCAGGAACTGTCCGCCATGAACGTTGACGTGACAAAGAACGTAAGGCTGTAGGATCAAGTCTCTGTAACGCACACCTGTCAATGCACCTGCCACATGCACGAGAGGCGTCCTACCACCGTGATGAATTCCGGCCCATACCATGACACTCCCGCCACCAAATGGGACAACCTGCTGCACACAGCTGGGGGCGTAACGTTCACCCCGACGTCTGTAGACACGTACGCGCCCATCAGCACGTGTGAGTAGGAAACGGGACACGTCAGTAAACAGTACATTTCTCCACCTTGCACGTGCCCATCTAACCCTCTGTTGGCACCAAAGCAGACGGTCCGCCAGATGACGTGGGGTCAATACATGACGTCGAACAGGTCTTCGTGCAAAAAGTCCAGCCACCCTCAGTCTGTTGCGTATCATTGAATCTCATATTCTGCATTCCCCAGGGATCTGTGTGGTTGTAGTCGTGGCTGTGGTAGTGCGGTCTCGGAGATGTCGCAGCCGGATGTATCAATCTTGTGCTTGGGTTGTCACCCTTGGTCTTCCTGACCTTGGTCTGTTGTCAACTCTGTTGGTGTTGTTGTATCGGGTCCACAGTGCGGAGATTGTCTGTCTGGATACGCCAAAGTGCCTTGCCACTTCTTGCTGAATTGCTTGTAATCTCCCAATTGTTCCGTTGAGCTGCATTCAGTCTTGGCATTATGTCAGCGCCTCTACTATCGTTATAAGGACTGTATGAACAGCCGTTGGTGTGGATTTTAATACCTCTTCAGCAGGGTGGCCTGCATGCCTAAATGCAGGATCCTATGCTGCACGTTTTTTACAGGCGGTTGCGTTTGGATGAAGCTGTAAAACTGATCCCCAAACGCTACGTTTATGTGCTTTGTATGTGTTTTCGCGAATTATAGACACATCATCTTTCTGTTTGACTTATTTGGTTCTCATTTAATGTAATTATTTTAGATATTTGGCAAAAAGTGGTTTTACATCTATGTCAAGTTACTTTTTTTAAAGAGTATATATCATTTTGATGGAAAACTGCTAATAAATTGAAAAAAAAGCCCCAGCGAGATGGCAATTGCAGCTTGAAACTGAAACTGCTCGCCAAACGTTCAATTTTCAAATCATTATACACACAACTGACTGACCTCACTGCGATTGCCGCACTTACACCAAAGACAGGATGCATTCTTACAGCATGCTGATATCCAATCGAGCCTAATTAATAAGCACACTTTGCATCAAAGGTACAAGCTGACTACCTTATACACAAAGGCAGCAAGTTGCTGAAGTGTTCTCATGTGACAGTCGTTGACAAGTGTAAATTGAGAAAAAGTAAAACGGATTAAGATAATTTAAGTCCATTTTTTGCTAAAGAGGAGGAAGTTTCTAATAAGTTAGGAAGGTCAGACTTTGGGCATGAAATCGTGTTCAAGAAGATTTGTGGTGAAGAAAAATCTGTAGACACTTAGATTGTTTTTGTTGTTGTTTGTAGTTTTACGCCGCACTCCAGCTATATGACGGCGGTCTGTAAATAATCGAGTCTGGACCAGACAATCCGGTGATTGGCATCATGAGTATCGCTCCACACAATTGGAATACAGTGACATGCATCAACCAAGTCAGCGAGCCTGCCCACCCGATCCCGTAGACACTTAGAAAGATGCCATGTATCATTGGGAACAATTAGAGTAGTCTCCTAAAAACCTGCTACGAAGATAACATCTACAATGCTGACGAAACGAGTCTTTTCTGTCGTCTAATGCCTGACAAAAGATTACAATTGAAAGGAGTCAAATGTCATGGTGGCAAGCACAGCACAGAGCGCATTACTGTGTTAGTTGCCTCAAACATGTCAGGTACAGATGAACGGACCCTTTTCACCATTGGCAAGTCAGCAAATCTACGTTATTCTGAAAAGGTTACGAAAATTCCCATCGAGTACGTCGCTAAAGGATCTTGATGATATATGAGACGTTTGAATACATGCAGTTTAAAAGATTCAGAATTTCTTGTTATGTCATATTTTCACAGCTTATTTTGGAGTCCCTCTCGCCACTTAGAGTCAAAAGGCCATGCTGAAATCCACGAAACAACTATATGATTTCCTCTTAGACTGTTTATACTTCTGTTTGATTTCTGAAAGAAAGGATACCAAGAGTTTGAAAGACTATGAAAGGAAAACAAAAGCATGTATATAATATATTTCTTTAAAGTTGTGTTTTAACACATTGTGTAAAACTGTTCATTTCATCTCAACAAAGACTTACAGGGACCAAAGACACATGGGGGTAAAAAATTATGTGTTTCACAATATCATGGTCACAACACAGGATCAACATGACTTTACAATCTCTGAAAGCCCATTCAAAACCAACTTAATACCGATTATGTCCACTTTGTGCATTAACGCACGGCTGAAGACGATGACGCACCGATGACCTAAAAGTTGAATGATGTTGATGGTAATCCGCAGTCAGTCCTCAAGGAAATATTATTCCAGTTTTTAACAGTTGACTGGTGCCGCTGGTTGTCTTCGGAACTGTCAGTCAAGGAAATCCCGTTTGTGTACCATGTGGTTCATACTTAGAGAACAGCCTTGGGAGGGTGAAACGTTAATGTTCGAGTTGTTCAGAATGTATGGTCTTGCTGGAAGGCAATGCCACGTGGCTGTTGCTGAATAAATGGTTGCACAAAGGGTCCCAAAACTTTATGGCAATATCTCTGGACATTCAGGATCCCGGAAATAATAACAAGTCTCGTATTAACAACACCGCAGATACCTCCCCAGACCATGCATCGCCTGAACATGAGGAACAAAATAAGGGGCTAAACGTTCACCTACTCATCTATATACTCGCTGCCTTCTGTACAAGCAATATCTACTCTCATCCGACAACATGACGAATCCCAGGTCTTGCACTTGCCAACGCCGAACTCGTCTGACCCATGTCAGTCTGTAAGGGTTGGTAGGGTCTACGTGCTCTAATTCTCCTATATTCTATCTGATTACTGACAATCAGTCCCGTCGC